ATTTAATGATTATTGCTTATCAATTGGGATACAATTGGAGCATCCTGTAGCTCATGTTCACACTCAAAATGGCCTTGCAGAGTCTTTAATTAAACGTCTGCAATTGATAGCAAGACCGTTACTCATGAAAACGAGGTTGCCCACTTCTGTTTGGGGTCACGATATTCACCGTTGCAATTAGTTTTGGGTCATGAACCTAATATATCCCATTTAAGAATTTTTTGATGCGCAGTATATGTGCATGTAGCACCGCCATATCGCACCAAAATGGGCCCCCAAAGAAGGTTAGGAATATATGTTGGGTTTGAATCGCCCTCCATTATTTGCTACCTCAAAACATTAACGGGGAATTTGTTCACTGCACGATTTGCAGACTGTCGATTCGATGAGACACTTTTCCCAAAATTAGGGGGAGAAAATGGTGAAACCAAACGGGAAATTTTATGGAAAAATCCATCATTGTCTCATCTTGATCCACGTGCCTCTATTTGTGAAAAAGAGGTTCAAAAGATTATCATTTGCAAAAAATAGCAAATCAAATGCCAGATGCATTTACGGATCTGAAAAGGATAACAAAATCACCTATCCTTGTAGAGAATGTTCCAATCCGTATTGATGTCCCTGTTGGACAATCTTCTAGTGTCATAGCCAATGAGTCAAAAGCACGCCTAAAACGTGGCAGACCATTAGGTTCTAAGGATCGAAATCCTAGAACAAGGAAAACAAATGATCAAGATGACACTACGAAAGAGTCTCATAAAGAAATCCACGATTTAACCAATCCTGAGATTCATGAGGAAATCACTGAGCCTAAGACTCAAGAAAATAAGGAATCCAATCGATATTGAGACAAATTTGAATCGATTGGATATAGTGGTGGATTATGTCTTTGCATATAATGTTGCATCTAGCATTACCCAAGATAGTGAGGATCTTGAACCTCAATCTGTTGGAGAATGTCGACAAAGACATGATTGGCCAAAATGGCAAGAAGCAATCTAATCAGAGTTGAATTCACTTGCAAAACGTGAAGTTTTTGGGCCTGTAGTCCAAACACCTAATGGTGTTAAGCCTGTTGGCTATAAATGGGTTTGTACGCAAGAGGAATGAGAAAAATAAGGTACAAAGATATAAGGCACGCCTTGTTGCACAAGGATTTTCACAAAGGCCTGGTGTCGATTATGAAGAGACATATTCACCCGTTATAGATGCTATAATGTTCCGTTACCTCATTAGTTTTGCTGTCCATGAAAAGCTTGACATGCATTTAATGGATGTGATTACCGCCTACCTTTATGGCTCACTTGATAATGAGATATACATGAAAGTTCCCGATGAATTTAAAATGCCCAACGCACATAATTCAAAGTCCTGGGAAATGTTTTCAATCAAATTGCAAAGATCTTTGTATGGTCTAAAGCAATCAGGACAAATGTGGTATAATCGTCTTAGTGAGTACTTATTAAAGGAAGGTTATATAAATGATGCCATTTTCCATGTGTTTTTATAAAGAAAACAACGTCGGAATTTGTTGTACTTGCCGTATATGTTGATGACATAAACCTTATTGGAACTCCTATAGAACTCCAAAAGGCAATTGATTATTTAAATAAGGAATTCGAGATGAAAGATCTCGGAAAGACAAAATTATGTCTTGGTTTGCAAATTGAACAGTTGGCAGATGGAATTTTTGTTCATCAACCTGCCTACATAGAAAAGGTATTGAAACGGTTTTACATAGATGGAGCACATCCATTAAGTACTCCGATGGTTGTTCGATCACTTGATGTGAATAAGGATCCATTCCGACCTGAAGAAGAGAATGAAGAGCTACTTGGTCCCGAAGTACCATATCTTAGTGCAATTGGTGCACTAATGTATCTTGCTAATACAACAAGGCCTGATATAACTTTTTCAGTTAATGCCTTAGCAAGATATAGCTTTGCTCCTACAAGGAGACATTGGAATGTAATCAAATACATATTGCAGTATCTAAATTGACTACCGATATGGGCTTATTTTATGACAATAATTGCACTCCCGATCTTGTTGGTTATGCTGATGCTGGGTATTTATCTGACCCACACAAGGCTCGATCTCAAAAAAGTTATGTGTTTACCTATGGAGGCACTGCCATATCTTGGCGATCGACTAAGCAATCAATTGTGGCTACTTATCTAATCATGCTGAGATAATTGCTATTCATGAAGCAAGTTAAGAATGTATGTGGTTGAGGCCTATAATATATCTTATTCGAGACAAATATGGTTTGAAATGTGACAAACTACTCACGATTTTGTATAAAGATAATGCAGCATGCATAGCCCAATTGAAGGGAGGATTCATAAAAGGAGATAGGACAAAGCACATTTCACCAAAGTTATTTTTCACACATGATCTACAAAAGAATGGTGATATTAATGCGCAACAAATTCGTTCAAGTGATAATATGGTTGATTTGTTCACAAAATCTCTACCGACATCAACCTTCAAGAAGCTAGTGCACAAGACTGGGATGCGAAGGCTCAAGGATGTGAAATGATGCTCTCATCAGGGGGAGTTTAATATGCGTTGCACTCTTTTTTTCTTACAAGGTTTTGTCCCACAAGGTTTTCCTTGCAAGGTTAAAATTTTAACGAGGCAACCAAAAGGCGTATTGTTAGATATGTGTACTCTTTTTTCTTTACTAGATTTTTTTCCCATTGGATTTTATTTTAGTTAAGGTTTTAACGAGGCACATTACTTATTGAGTAGACATTCAAGGGGGAGTGTTATGAATAGATTTGTAATTAGAGTGAATGTCTATCTTTTAGAGAGTTTTACTTTGTGGCTAAGTTATTTTTCCCCTATAAATAGAGAGGTCTTACCTCATTGTAAATCATCACAAAATTCAATAAGAATTCTCTCTCTCTTTCTCTGCAAGATTATTCTTTTCCTTATTGTTTTATTTCACTTTTCATAATTTTCACTCCAAATCACTCATAAAAATTTAAAAACAACTCCAAGTTATATTTATGTCCAAACATAACTCTATTTTCCAAACATTATTTTCAACTTGAATTTTCTTTATTTTAGTTTTTCCCGAAAGTTTACAATTCTTATATCTTATATCTAAACGTCCACTTAGTCGTATGACTACTGTGTTATTATTTAGGTTGGGCTTTACTCGCTATGGTTAAAGGTTATTTTGGAGATACTTTTCCTATGAAAATTGATACAGTAAAAATTAAACTTACACTTATTAAACAAGAGACTTTCACCAATACTAATATACCATACATGTATTTTAACATTTGTTCGTGTTACTTGATTATAAATTTATTTGTTGAATTCAGCTATCCATGGAGCTCTGCCATGATGATTTGCTGAATTACAATGTGAGCTAAGAGGAGGTCGGTCTACGGAGATGAGTCTGAGGGAATATTCTATAAGAAGAGAATATATAACTCTAGCATAGTCTAAGTTAGTTATAACTAACAAATGAACAACTAACAAATTAACCACCACTATCACTGCTAACACTATCACTGTTAATCTCAACATTCCCCCTCAAGCTGGAGGGTAAGAACAAGTTTTAAACTCCCAGCTTGCTAAGCAAAAAATAATGCTATGTCTTTCCAAGACCCTTGGTGAGAATATCTGCCAATTGTGCTTCAGTGTTGATGTGCTGAGTCTGAATAAGGCCCTGCTGTAGTTTTTCCCTCACAAAATGGCAATCAATGTCAATGTGTTTTGTGCGTTCATGAAAGATAGGATTGGCAGCTATTTGAATAGTTGATTTGCTGTCACAGTGCATGGTAACATGTAGCTTAACTGTAACTCCTAGCTCTTTGAATAGTCCAACCAGCCATGAAAGTTCTGCAACAGTAGAGGCCATACTCCTAAATTCTGCCTCTACTGAACTTCTGGAAACTGTGTTTTGCTTCTTAGATTTCCAAGAAACTAAGAAGTTTCCAAACTTAACAAGGTAACCTGTGACAGACTTTCTAGACTGTGGGTATGCTGCTCATTCAGAGTCACAATATGCAACCAAGTTGTTAGACCCCTCTAAAGACATCAACAATCCCAATCTTGGTGCATTCTTTATATACTTGATCACCCTTAAGGGTGCATCCAGATGGGATCTCTTTGGCTTATGCATGAACTGACTTAGTACTTGGACAACATAAGCTAAATTAGGTCTAGTCATGGTAAAATATAGTAGCCTTCCTACTAGTCATTGGTAAGGTTTAGGATCACTAGGAATGCTGTTGTTTGTATTGGTGCACTCCACAGCTTCATCAAATTCTATTGTTGATAGTCTTGGATTACACTCTAATGGAGTAGATACTGGTTTAGCTCCCCCTAACCCAGAGTCAGCAATCAAGTCAAGAGCATATTTTCTTTGGTTCATCAAGATGCCACTTTACTCCGAGCAAACTCTATACCCAGAAAGAACCCGAGCTCCCCTAAATCCTTCATCTTGAATTTCTTTTGTAGGTTGGCTCTAGTAGTCTGAATCAAAGTTGCATCATTGCCAGTAACCAAAAGGTCATCTACATAGACCAACACAATCACTAAGGCTGAGCCCTATTGCTGTGTGAATAAAGAGTAGTCGAAGTGGCTTTGAACAAAGCCTAGGTCTTGAAGAGCCTCTATTAACTTTAGGTTCCATTGTCTTAATCTTGTTTCAAGCCATAGAGTGACTTCTTTAGTTTGCAGACTTTGGACTTGGACTCCCCCTTGGCAGTGCACCAATGCTTAGAGGCTGCCACAGCAATAACCTGATCTAACAGTAACCATCTTAGCCACTGGGGAGAAAGTTTCCTTGTAGTCTAGGCCTTCCTATTGGCTGAAGCCTTTGGCTACAAGTCTGGCCTTGAGCCTCTCCACCTCTCCATTGGCTCTATATTTCACCTTGTATACCCACTTACACCCTATAGGAGTCTTGCCTGCAGGTAAGTCAACAATGTCCCATGTGCTATTTTCTTCTAAGGCTTCCACTTCTTGCTTCATGGTTGTCACCATCTAGCACCTCTTGCAGCTTCAGCATAGTGTTTTGGCTCTACAACTGAAGATTGTGCTATGAGACACTTTGCATAGGAAGAGGACAAGTTGTCATAGTTCAGGTAGTTTGTCATTGGATATGCACAGGAAGTTGAGACAAAGTCCTGCATCCACTTAGGTGGACCTGTAAATCTATGATGTTTTCTGATTGAAATTGGCAATATGTCCGTGGTACCTTGGTGTTGTGGGAGATCATCAGTGGCTTCACCAACTGATGGAGGGGGTACATCAAGTGAAATGTCTACTTCTTGATCATCAAGTGAAGTGTCTGCTTCTTCAGGCATTTCATTAGCATTCTGCATTTCACCAATATTTGGAAATTCATCATATACAGGCTGAGATGCATCATTTATGGGTGGCACATCAACTGGATTAGCTAACTCAAGGACTGGAAAAATGGGAATGGAAGACACCTTCATGTGCTTGAAAGGAAAAATCTGCTCCTTAAAGATCACATCTCTACTGACCAGGAATTGCTTAGAGTACAAATCATACAATTTGTATCTCTTAGTAGGTGAGTATCCCATAAAGATAGCAGGCAGTGCCCTAGCTGAAAATTTATCCTGCCTTCTCACATTCACAGCATAGCATAAACATTTAAAGACTTTTAAATGCTCAAGGGAAGGTGGAGTATTGAACAACATCTCATAGGGAGACTTCCCCTTCAGAACTGTAGAAGGTATTCTGTTTATAATATGCATAGCTGTGAGAACACAATCTCCCCAAAATCTTAGTGGAATTGCAGCTTGAAACCTCAAAGCCCTAGCTACCTCTAGTATATATCTATGTCTCCTTTCCAAAACCCCATTCTGTTGTGGATTATATACAGATGTAGTCAGATGAATGATCCTCTGTGATTTTAAGAATTGCCTCATATCTGAGTTAACAAATTCTAATCCATTGTCAGTTCTTATTGTCTTGACATGACAGTTAAATTGTGTATGAATCATACAGATAAGCCTCTTCATTAACCAATAGGCTTCATCCTTAACATTCATTAAAAACAACCAAGTGGATCTAGAGAAATCATCTACTACTGTAAGGAAGAATCTTTTATTATCACGAGTAGGTACTCTGTAGGGTCCCCATAAATCTGCATGTAAAAGATGAAAAGGAGCATGTGCTCTACTCTTACTGACCGGAAATGGAAATTTGGTTTGCCTAACTAATGGACAAACTGGACATTCTAAACAATTAATAGCTGATCTATCATTTCCAAATTGTTGCTTGAGCTTGTCAATTCTCTTTAATGCCTCCACAGGTAGATGTCCAAGCCTCTGATGCCAAATTTCCAGCTTTATTGAACTCTGATTTTTTTTGTGTTGTAGTCTGCATAGCTGTGGTATGTGCAATTGGTGTATTCAACTGTATCTTCTGAGTGCAGTCTTTAAGAATGTAAAGCCCGTTTGATTCACTACCAATCCCCAACACCTTGCCAGCGTAGAGATCCTGAAACACACATAGGTTCGGAAAAAAGGCTACCAAGCATTGTAGTTCTTTAGTGAGTTTTGAAACTGACAATAGGTTGTACTTAAAATGAGGAACATAAAGTACATCACTAATTTTGTGATCCTTGAAAATATTGGTTGAACCATTGTGGGCAATGTCAGCTAATTCTCCATTTGGTAAGTGAACTGAACGACTTTTATTTAATGAAACGACATTATGCAGTAAATCCAACCTTGGAGTCATATGATTGGATGCTCCACTATCTATAATCCAAACACCTTGATTCAGACAAGTCATTAAGCATGTAATAGTACTCGTTTCCAGTTCTGCTGCATTAGCTGTAACTTCTGTGGGCTCACTGTTGAGCAATTGCAGGATTTGCTGGTACTGTTCTGGTATGAAGGTTGGTGCAGTGGGAGTAGAAGTGAAGGTTGCTGGTGCAGGGTGTTCAGTCGCCATATTAGCTGTTCCTTGAGGGTTGTATTTCTTCTTGAACTTGTGATCATTTGGATATCCTACTAGCTTGTAGCATATGTCCCTAGTATGACCTTTCAATTTGTGGTAATCACAGTAGAGATTGTAATTCTTCTTTGGCTTTTGTTGATTTCCAACCCTATTAGTCATTATGGCAGCCATTTCACCAGCATCTAGACTAGCTGAAGCACTTGCCATAGTCTTTTGGCTTTCATGTTCCATTAGTATAGAATACACCTTATTCACTGATGGCACTGGTACCATCATCAAGAGCTAACTTCGAACCTGCTCGTTTGATTCATTCAGCCCCATCAGAAATTTCAAAAGCTTTTGACGCTCCATAAACTGAACAAATTTACGAGAATTGGCATCGTCACGACCAGGAATTGGTGCCAAACTATCAAATTCTGCCTAAAGCACTCTCAATTTTGAAAAGTAAGTTGAAATTGAGCTAGTACCCTGCCTAGCAATAGCAATTTCTCTATGAATCTGAAAAATCCTAAAACAATCCACCTTATCAAATCGCTCCTTCAGATCTCCCCATACGACACTAGCATTTGAGGAATACACCATTCCACTCAATAGTTCTGGTAAAACACAGTTCATCAACCAAGACAATACAATCGCATTACAACGCTCCCAGAGATCAACGAGATTCGTACAGTACTTCTCCCTTTTGCATGTGCCGTCAATGAAACCTAGCTTGTTCCGACCTAGGATTGCAATCCTCATCGCCCGACTCCATACATAATAATTTTCCGGTCCTCTCAGTTGCAATGAAATCAATATAGCTTCTGAATTATCATTTGAATCCAGGAAAAGTGGATGATTGTGAAATAATTTCTCTGGTTCGGTGTTGTCGACTGTTGCCATTGATGACCTTCCTTCCAAGCTTCGAGATAATGAAAAATGAAGACAATAGGACCACACTAATGGTCGTGTGGCTCTGATACCATGTTGAATTCAACTATCCATGGAGCTCTGCCATGGTGATTTGCTGAATTACAATGTGAGCTAAGAGGAGGTCGGTTTACAGAGATGAGTCTGAGATGAATCTGAGGGAATATTCTAGAAGAAGAGAGAGAAATGTAATATTCTATTCTAAGTGTCAAATGTATCTGTACATGAATATATATAAGCTAACTGTGGTTAATGCTAAAGCTAACTCTAGTTACTCTAACTCTAGCATAGTCTAAGTTAATTATAACTAACAAAGGAACAACTAACAAACTAACCACCACTATCACTGCTAACACTATCACTGTTAATCTCAACATTATTGTATCGCAAATCATAATGTGAGGTAGTGTTATTATATTTTTTGTTTGCCCCTGGTGACTACTGAGAGGCTAAATCGAGGTAGGGAACCCACCATGGTAGGTTTTTAACACTCATTATTAGAGAGGATTCTATTTTCAAACCTCGGTCCCTAGATCTTTGGTTAAAGGAGGAAAAACATTTACCATTTTACCATAAATTTTTATGGTATATATATAAATAAAAAGAAAACCACTCTTCATTTCAGTTAATCAAAAGGCACCCCACGTTTTTAGGTAAAGCATTCAGCATTCCCGGCATTACTAAAAAGGCAACACTAATTAATTGAAAGTGACATCATATTAAACAATTACATGATCCATAAAAGCTATAGATGCATTTGATAATTATTTAAAGGGAAGAAAAAGGCATTTCAGTGCTATTTATTAGTTAATTCGAAGTGGCTGCAAATAGCTGCTAAATAAAAATTGTAATCTTTAATTCTTTATTCTTGCATAATTTTATTGGATTTTAAGTACTGCTTGAAAGTCATTTTTCCGATCTTATCATGTTTAGTGAATGATATGATTATTCCAGCTTGATTAGTATAAAGATAGTTAGTACTTATAATAAACTATTAATACCACATGCGCCAACTAAGTCGTTGTTCAACTTTTTGAAGCTTTTATTGATTTTCTATCACGTAATATACTTTAATTAAATCTTGTCTGCGACAAAATTATCTTTAGATGTAAAATTCTTGTCTGCCACTAATACCAGTCTTGGAACGATTAATGTTTTTCTTTGAAAACGATGAATTTAACTGATTAACATAGTCACATTAACTTGCATAAGATGGAAATAATATGATGGAATAACGTCGAATTAAACAATGGGAGTTATATATAGTACGCAACGGTTTCTAGTTCCTAATAACAATTGCATGCTTTGCATTAATATACTACACGATAGTCTAAAGTATACATTTGCTCCAACTTCATTTTGTGACCCTATGTTTTATAACCTATTTAGTTAGTGTATTACAAATGATAACCTTTATTTTTCCTATTGGCAAGTTTCTTGGCTATTTTTCCTTTTTTGACCAGTAGGTCATGGATTCAAGTTGTGGAAACAACCTCTTGCAAAAATGTAAGGTAAAGTTGCATAAAATACCTTTGTGGTCCGGCCGTTCCCCGAACCCCGTACATAGAGAGCTTAATTAGTGCACCGAGCCGTCCCTTTTTTTTTTAGTGCTTACAGCTGGAGACATGCATAAAACCTTCACAAATATCTTGGTCCATTGGAGGACCAGCTTCCACTTTCATCATGATTTTCATCAATGATATATATTCATGAACACGGGCAGAGCTAGGGGGCGACGGGTCCGAATCTTTTTTGTCTAAAAATTACAATGTGTATATGTAAAATTAATTTTTTATGTATATATATTAGATATTAAATTTTTTGGCTCTTCATATTTTATTTTTTCTTTTAAAATTCCCTTAATAAAAATCTTACCTCCACCATTGATCATGAAAAAAATCCAACTTTCTCCATGACCATAAACGTTGTAACCTAACTAGTGTAGTATCATATTTTTGTCTCAGATTGGAAAGGAGGAAATAATCTTTATTATTAAATTAATAAGCCTAAGAGGATTTTGTGGTTTTTTTTATTGATTTTTGTGTTTTATTCACCGATCACTACTAAAAATCCGGAAAAAAGCGACCAAAATTGGTCTGTCAGGAAAAGCGACCAACGTTGGTCGCTAAATTGGAGAAAATAATTAAATAATTATTTTAAATACATTAGCGACCAAGGTTGGTCGCTTTTTGGTCGCTAATTTGGTCAAAATGTTGACCGGACTGGTCAGACTTGCTTGGTCAAAGAAATGCTGAAATTAGCGACCAAAGTTGGTCGCTAAAGTGGGACTCACTTATAAAATTTTAATAATTATATTATTATTTAAAAAAAATTATAAAATATAAATAAATATAATTCAAAATTAGCGACCGAAGTTGGTCGCTCACGAAAGGGGAAGCAGATAGAGACCAACTTTGGTCGCTAATCTGGGACCCAGTTATAAAAATTAAATAATTATATTATTATTAAAAAAATTATAAAATATAAATAAATATAATTCAAAATTAGCGACCAAAGTTGGTCGCTTACTAAAGGGGAAGCAGATAGAGACCAACTTTGGTCGCTAATCTGGGACCCAGTTCTAACATTTAACAATTATATTATTAATTTAAAACATTATATAAAATATAAATAAATCTATTTAAATTTAGCGACCAACGTTGGTCGCTAAAATCCCGACTACAACACATTCGCTACCGTTTTGTCTCCACCATGTGCCCTTCATACCGGTGATGCATGGAAAATCATTCAGAATTTCTTCCATCTCTCCCGGAACACATCGGAGGCACCAGCTGATCTGCATAATGCTTAAACAAAAGCGCGTTCATCCCATAATAAAGGTCTAATATCAGCAGATTTCTCTACCATCTGGGAAAACAAAATTACGAGTCACTCCATACAATGAAGTTCACATATTCATCATTACCATGGGGGTTGTGCCAGTCGTTATGGCTAGCAATTGCTCATCAAGGAAAACTTTCTGGAATTTTGCCCTCTTTTCCTCAAAAGTTGCTCGGAGTTCCAAGCGCTTAAATGGCTGCTAGCCTGAATTTTTTGTCCCTTTTCGATCTTTGATTTCCACGTGAACTCCTGCAAAGGAAGAACCCCAATGGATTAGTCTTAAGACTTATCACCTTTTCATAAATGAATACCTGGATGGCTTGCATATCTATGTAGACGATGACTTTAGTTTCCCACCAAGTAGCCCTAAATTTGTCAAACGCAGCATACTACCGCTAGCAATGTTTTTCTGTGACTGCGTATTTATCTGAGCTGGTTTAGAGTTTTTCTAGCGTAGTTAAATGAGTGGATATACTTTATTTTTTCCTTCTGGTCCCATAACAACCCCACATTGTCGCGTCACTTGGCTCTCACATCAAACTCAAAAAGGCTCTCCCTTAGTCATGGGGCGGTCAGGTGATAATTGCGTGCAGGGCACCAATCTCTTTTTAGGCTCTCGTACGCCTTCAAGCTAATGCTCATCAAACTTTGAAAGGGATACCTTATCCAGCAAACCTGCACAAGGGAAGCAGAAATCTTAGAGGAATCTTCAATGAATCTACAATGGAAACCTACATGTCCCAAAAGCTTCTGACTTCCTTTGGACAGAGGTTGGAGGTGGCAGTTTTTTCAATTACATCCACTTTTTCCTTATCCACCTCGAACCCACTATTGGGACACCTTGTGCCTGAGTACCAATTTCCTTCTTGTACCAAAAAATAGTACTTTTCCCAGATTCAAAACACAAGTTCATCTCTTCACACCTGCATGCACTTACTCAAATTCGTAAGCATTCATCAAAAGATGGTCTGAAGACCAAAAATCATCCATAAACTACTGGTCAACAAATTTTTCTACCAGGTATCATTGAAGATTTCCATCATGCACCTTTTGAAAAGTCGAAGGTGCATTGCACAAACCCAAATGTGCAATTCGTTTAAAAGTAAAGTGCCATGAAGGAACAAGTGAATTGGTCTTCTCTTAGTCTATGATTGCAATTGATATTTGGTTATAGCGGAATATCCATCAAGGAAACAATAATAGTCTTGTCCGGACCAACTATCTAACATTCTGACCAAAAGGGGAAGGGGAGATGTGATTCCTTTCAAGTAGAATTATTCAGTTTCCTATATCAATGCAAATTCTCCAAACCTGCGGCATAATCCTAGTATAAGGAATTATTTCATTATTATCATTAGGGACCACCGTCATGTCCACCCTTTAAGCAACACTTTGCACTGGACTTACCTACTGGCTATCAGAGATGGCGAAGATAATACATGCATCGAGCCACTTTATAACTTCCTTTCTACCATTCCTTCATTGATGGATTTCAAACGGCGTTTGGTGTTCCACACTCGATT